ATGGGGTCTAAATTAGCTGTTACCACTCAAGAAAGAGATCTTGGCGTCATTGTGGATAGTTCTCTGAAAACATCCACTCAATGTGCAGTGGCAGTTCAAAAAGCTAACAGAATGTTGGGAATCATTAAGAGAGGGATTAGATAATAAGACAGAAATTATCATATTGCCTGTATATAAATCCATGGTATGCCCACATCTTGAATACTGCGTGCAGATATGGTTGCCCCATCTCAAAAAAGATATATTGGAATTGGAAAAGGTTCACAAAAGGGCAACAAAAATGACTGGGGTATGGAATGGCTGCCATATGAGGAAAGATTAGTAAAACTGGAACTTTTCAGCTTGGAAAAGAGGCGACTAAGGGGAGATATGATAGAGGTCTCCATAATCATGACTTGTGTGGAGAAAGTAAATAAGGAAGTGTTATTTACTCCTTCTCATAACACAAGAACTAGGGGCCACCAAATGAAATTAATAGGCAGCAGGTTTAAAACAAACAAAAGGAAGTATTTGTTCACACAATGCACAATCAACCTGTGGAACTTCTTGTCAGAGGATGTTATGAAGGCCAGGACTATAACAGGGTTCAAAAAAGAACTAGATAAGTTCATGGAGGATAGGTCCATCAACGGCTATTAGACAGGATGGGCAGGGAAGGTGTGCCTAGCCTCTGTTTTCCAGAAGCTGGGAATGGGCAACAGGGGATGGATCACTTGATGATTATCTGTTCTGCTCATTCACTCTGGGGCACCTGGTATTGGTCACTGTTGGAAGACAGGATACTGGGCTAGATGGACCTTTAGTCTGACCCAGTATGGCCGTTCTTATGTGTGAGTAACATACAAATCTGAAGAAGCCTGCCTTTGATGCGGACACAGGGGCAAAATGAGACAGACATGCATGGAATTAAGTGGCAGGCTACAACTTTTATTAAACTTTCACCCGGGGCAGGGGTTGCTACCCACCCATCACCCATACTCTCCATTACCAGCATTTAATTGGTTCCAGTGCGGGGGGTACAGGGCTCCTTACCATATAACCTGTCACTCAGGATAGGCTCTCCTCAGCCTACCTGCAGGACTCAGCTCTCTCTGAGTCCTAACATCCTTCCCCCGGGAGAGGGGCAGAGGGTGCAGAAGGGTGGGGACCTCAGGCCATGAGGGCCACAAGGTCTCACCTGTGAGTCCAAGGCCCATCACCAAAATCCCAGGCCTTTTCTCTCAGATAACCATTCATTTTATTCTTTTTACCACAGTTGAAACTAGCCACAAGTTGCAACAAATAAACAAGTCAACCCAAATACCTCAGTAAGGTACTAAGCGCATTCCTACTTAAGTCACTGTGGCTTGAAGGCGCAGTGAGGAAGGCAAAAAAAACCCCTCCCTAGTTCTCTACCAATTGGCCCATGGTAGAAACTATTCCATCCTGACCCCCAAACAGGCGATCAGCTAGACCCACAGCATCTGTCAGACCAGATTCCTGTTCCTAGTTCAGGGGGGCAGGGAGGAAGAGTCTTGCTGCTGGAATGGAGTTGAAAGAGGCTCCACATGGCCTCTGCACCAAGTTAAATTCTGGGAGCTAGGGAATGCTGGCCAATCAGCTTGCCTCCCCCACGGCCAGAGACTCCCAGGGAAGGAGCTACCTAGTGTGCCAGAATGAGTGTCTCCTTCCCTTCCTGCTGAGACTGTCCCATTTCACCACTGGCCCCAGCAAGTTGCTCTGCCCTTTGAGGCAGGTGGGCAGCATTTTTAAAGACAGTTCTTTATTTCATATGCAGTACTCCAAAAACGAGTGGTGTGCAGGTGAATTCAGGGGGTGGCTTTGTTAAATGATAACATCACCAACCTACAGCTAGTGCTTCCTGGGAAATAATACTCCATAGTCAGACTTCCATAACAGTACGGCATCATTTTATTGACAACACCTGTATCATTTTGATATTCACGTTGTTTATTCTAACTCTGAATAATCTCTAGATCGAGAAAACAATCAGCAAACTGATTTTCCTCTCTTTCAATTTCAGCAGAACAATTACCATAATTAATTTCACAGACCAAGAAGATAAGATTACTGACATAACTGAACATTTAACTGCCAAGTAATTGGTAGGAAGATTATCTCATAATGCATAACAGATAACCATAATTTAAGGCTTTAATGCATTTTTTCTCCTGGATTCTTCTAATCTGCAAATAAGCTCTTGTAGAGCTTTTGCAGTGCACTCTAAAAGCTAATATCATAGGCAAACTGAAAAAGCTCGATGAGTGTGACACTTCTCTCCATTTACCCTCAGTTCTTTGTAGATTGTGGTCAGCTCTGTTATTATTCTGTAAAAATACATATAATAACAGTGGAGTGGTGATAAGCATCCCCGCACAGCGGATAAGCAACTTCAATCTCTGCTGATTTCTCTTCAACTATCTTGCTGTGCTTGAGTCATTACTTTGTTTGGTGCATTAAACTACGACTTTTCAAAAAGTGTTTTGAAATATTGTTCATTCACATAGAACGATCAATTCAAAAAACAGTTAGTGTCATGACTCAGCTTTCTCCCCTTCTTTCTGCACAGGCTTGCATTCTCCTTCATCCTGCACTTACCCTAACTGATTATTAAAAATCACTTCTTCTGGTGTATGGCTTCCGACGGAACAAACAATGAATTAGATGGTGGGTCAGTGATGTAGCACTCTATCACAGCAGCAGCATCTGGAGACGTCACGCACATCCATCCACCATTTACAGTGCTATAAGCTAGTATTGTTTTACACATATTTCCTAGTCAGACTGGCTTACAGTCTAGAGACCCAATCTAGGCAAGCACACACTTACGTTCCATAGATTCCTGAATGGGGATGCATCTAAGTACATACCATAAGTGCTTTTGTGAATCAGGAACTAAAATGGGCAAATGTAACTTACTTCAAGAAAGGCAAGTTGTAGATGATTAGTGGTAAAGAAAAGATGATAGGAAATGTTCCTAAAATAAGTTGGCATTAAGAAAGCATTTGAAGGAGAGAGAGGGCATGTGGCAGACAAAAAGGGATCAGAAGAAAGGGATCACAAAGTCAAAACAAAGGAAAAGGGAGATATAAGGAGAGAAAAGTGGTGAGGAAAGGAGAAGGGAATTTGCTCCAATTCACGAGCTCACTCTTCAATGTCAAGCTGAGTTCTTGTGAGGCAGTGGTGAGGTCATGCATTAGTATCCAATCCAAAGCCTAGTGAAGTATTTGGAAAGTCTCACATTCACTTCAATGGACTTTGGATCAAATCCTTATGAGGTAACCCTGCTCTGGGGAGGAATGAAGATACCTTGGAGAAACTTCCTGAGCTCCTTAGTGCTCCTTAGTGCTCAGGGCATGCTTGCAAACTAACATGCCATCCTTTAAGGCCAGTGCAGAAGGGAAGGTGAAATAAGCATATGCAGTTTTCTTTTTTTGTAAGCAGAACTTTACCTACCTTTTTGGCAGCTGTTACTATCAACATGTACTGGAGTTAAAAAAAGAAGAGTTGAAATGACAGATTTCAGTCATGTCAACTATTAAAAGCAACATTGAGGGAATTGCTTCTCTCACACTCCTCACTGGCTTCCTAATATAGCCTCCACCCATCCTTAATGTCACATCACCCACTCCAGACCTTGGCTGAAAATGATAACCTTACAAGAATATCAAAGATTTACCATTCCCAATCCGTCTCATTCTGTATACAATAAATGTACGGGCGGCACAGGGCAATGGTCTAACTACTGCCATGTTTTTCACATCCCCTGAAAATATAGGCCACTTTCATTCCTCACATTAGTTCTCACCTGTTGGTTAGCTACTTGGTAAAGCAAGAACTTTTTTCAGGGATGTTCGTCACATAGCATGAGCAACAGTAATGGAAGTCTGAGCTGCACTCAGCTGATCCACATGAGTTTTGGCAAAGTCACAGAATTGCGGAGAACAGGAGAGAGAACTGGAAATATGTGAAGCTACACAGAATTGAATACACTGAAACCACCCCCACCACTTCCACAGCTCCCACCTCACTATTGTTACAACTAATCCCTAAGGTGACTGTACCTCTCACTTTTAACATCAAGCCACATTGTGTAGTGTGCTGTCATAAAGATGGAGACAAACGTGTGTGCAGAAATCAATATGCCATAATGTAAAGATTATTTCATAACACAACTATCTTGCACACAATAAAAGCTGTTATTTTGCCGCATACCAAGTTTAGAAAGCAACGCTAAACCAGCTGCTGTGGCACAGTTAGATTCCTTTGTTCCTTTGATTAGGCATGATTTAAATGATTCATTCAATTATTACTTTTGTATTCAAAGATGGCTTATTTTCATGCAGATTTATGTCCCGTTATGCATAAAGGACAATCTTAATTGTGCTGAAATAACTGCAAATTTAATTAAAGTTTGCCATTCCAAGCATAAAATAGATTAGAGAAAATGCTGACTATGGTAAAAATAAATATTCAACTATTTAATTTAACTCAACATTTATTTTTAATCCAAACATCAAAATAACCTTGTTTCTAATTACAATTTCATGACAAATGTCTTGAACAAACATTTGTTTCTACTTTACTTCAATCTTTTCAGCTGAATTATACCAGCTTCTTTACAAAACTCTGTTGATTTATAAATCTGCACCAGCTGTATTACTATGTCACCATGGAACACAGATAAACATATGTAAACTATTACTCTCATTAAAGAAAAACCTATTACCCAAATATTTATGAATCGCTTAAATCCAGTCAAAAGGGTTACAGTTCAGTCAGCTGGCTGATAACGCACAATGAGTAAGGGAAAATAAGAGTCAGATTCTCAGGTAGTGTAGTCAACAGAGCTATACTGATTTATACCAGCTAAGGCTCTGGCTCTAAATGTTTAAAACAATCCAGTTGTGGTTCCCAGTAAT